CACATGGCCTTGAAGTAGGGGCAGTTGCGACCCCTACTAGCGGCTGCCTTTTGACTGTTGGGCAGCCCATCGGGCCTGTCTATACTTAGGACAAAATTTAATTGCATGGGCCGGGTCACCACAAAACACGCACTGACCCAAGTCCACGCGTTCCTGCCATACGCGCTGGTCCAAGCCCAGATCTCCCCATGGCCTGCCTTGCGCAAGCCTGGGTGCCATCCTCCTGACTGTTGAGGTGGCCTTCCACCTCGTCACTGCGGGGACCGGCTAGAACGCTGACGATTCAATGGGGGACCTTGACCCCTACCTCCCACTTGGCGGTTCCCTTGTCCACCAACGCCCTGTGCGCCCGATCCTCGGCCTCTCGTAGCTTGGCCCCTTTGGCCCTGGCCTCCTCCTCTACCTTGCGGCCTCCCTCCAGCCGCGACAACCGCATAGGACCTCCCCTGCCCTACGCTGCTGTCCTCATCCTCGAGGCCCCACTCGATCTGACTATATGGGACCTCGTCTGTACCACCTTCCTCTAAAGTAAGGATCATATGATCCTTGGCCCTGACTTGGTCGGAGATGGTACGGCCTTTCCACTTCTTCCCCTTATCCAAGTCCTTATGCCAGAAAGTGGAAACTGGCATGGACTTTGACTCAAATAGGACCACTTCTCTACTCAACACATCATATGTGATGTCGGCCTGTTGCGACTTATCAAAGAAAAATGCCCGCGCAGGGGCTCCGGCATGGCACGATTAAATAACTGGACCAACTGGGGCTCAGTGACCCCATGGTCTGGGACGACTACTAAGTCGTCCATGACGCCCTTGAGTGCTCTTGCACTCCTCAACTGTCATGAGTGGATGGTCTGTAACTTGTCAGAGGCCCTAACGCCTCTCGTGGGGTCAGCAAATCTCTCTCGTAGGAGTTTAAAGAATTGAGGAAGAGGGGTAATCTTAGAGTATGCAACCAGGTTGTTTTCACAACCGGCTGCGCGCGCAAGGGATCTGGCAAAACTGGCCGCTTCATCTTTGAGGGCCTGGAAGGCGACGAGGACTTGTTCCTCAGTCAAGATGTGCTATAGGTACACGTAACTATTGACGCTTGCCTCCCAGTTATCAAAATTCTCTTTCTTCTTTCGGCCGTGTGCATCTGGGAATTTCAGCTTGACGGGCTCTTTACGAGGCCTGGCCTCACTCTCAACAGCGGCAACTGCTTTGGCACTCTCGATGGCGCCCTCACAAAACTTTCCCACGTTCTCTCTTAACCGCCTAACTTCGCCCCCAACGTGGGTGACCATGTCGCGCGCAAAATCTCGGAATCCTGACCGCATGGCACTCAGGGCCACATCGTGACCCCAGTTGGCTTGGTGCTCCTCCATCCAAGCCTCACTCAACACTTCCAAGTACCCCAACATCTTATCCATTTTGGCAGAAATGTCTGCCTGCGCCTGCACCTCTTGTCTGCAGTCTCTCACTTTTGCCACCTCCGCGGTCAACCTACTAACTTCCTCCCTCCTTCTCTTCTTTTCCCTCTTCATCCTCAGTTTCCACTTCAACTTTTTCTCCTCCTCTGCTTCTTGCCGTTCCAGGGAGTCCTCGATTGTTGCTAGCGCTCTGGGTAACTCTTCCTTCTCGTCCTGTGGTACGTACATCTGTGCCTCCTCATCTTCCCCCAACGATAAGTTAGCAATCCACTCACTAATCTTCTTCTCCATCGCTGCATCCTCATTCGCCGTGCCACTACTCTCCCCTTTTACTTCCCTGCGATTTCTCTCCTCTTCTGCTTCTGCTGCTGCTTCTACCTCGGCAGCCTTTTTCTTCTCCTCCATCTCCTCCTCTAGTTTCTTTATTTTCGCCGCCTGCTCCTCAGCGATTGCTTTCAGCTTCGCCTGCTTGTAGGAGCTCTTTCCTTTCCTTATTCTCTCTCACTAAGGCGGCCATCTTCTCTTGTTGCTCCTGGGTATAGGGGCTAGTACTCTTCCTAGTACGGGTCTCAACCATGGTGATTAGTGCATAACGGGGTTAACGGTTCCAACCCTCACCACTTAGACTCTAACCCCTGACTGACAAACTTACTGACTCGATCTAAAGACTCACAGAATCCAGACAAGGATCCTGTCAAATAGGGTCTCTAGCGTAGACCTACTCTAAGGCTGTCACTACTAGACCTGTTGCTGATCAGGAGGCATTTAAGGAGATCCCCCAACTCCTCAGGAATTATTTAACGTCGCAGACAGAGGACGACGCGATCAGCAGGTCTCTCAACACTTAGACTGCCTGTTGCGCAGCCCACAACTCAGCCTTTCGGGCCTACCGTGCCACACCGAGCAGCCCGCCGGTCTGTACCGGTCCTTGGGAGGGTTAGGCCTCCAGGACAGTCGAGTTGCCAGACACGGTCTTTAGCCCTACTTGGTCCGGCAGGGGTTTGGTCAACAAGGCCTATCCTTCATCGACAGAGTTCTACCACCTGGACAGAAGAGACTCGATGCAGAAAGAAGAGACAAACAGACTTGACTCAGCAAGTACCACAGGGTGTGTGCACATCCATAGGGCGAGGGATAGGCTGAAGGCTTGGCGAGATTATACCGGCGCCAGCTTGGTCAAACTTGTGGTCAACGGCTTGGTCAACGCCTGTCAACCCCCGGTCAACCCCCGGTCAACCCCTGGTCAACTCCGGTCAACACCGGGCAACACCTCCAGTCAACTCCTGGTCAACCCTGGTCAACGTCCGGTCAACGCTTGGTCAACTCTCCCGGTCAACTTCTCCAGTTGGCTATGGCTGCTTCACTTTCCCTCACCAACCTTCTTCTTCCCTTCACCTTCCTCGCCTCCTTCCACCCTGCTGTCTTCTTTCTCTTTCTCTCTCTTTTTTTTTTTTTTTTGTTAGTCTCTCCTTCCTCCTCCTCGGCTATGGCTTCCCTCTCTTTCCTCGGTCGCTCCCTCTGTCCGGTCTCTCGCCCTCCTTCGTTACTCCGTGGTCAAACTCCGCGGGTATGGCCTTCTTCTTCTTCTTCATGGGACTGCACTTCACAGGTACGTAACAGCCAA